GGTTCACGCGTCTGTCTCCCCAACAGACGGTGGGCATCTGGGGAGCGGGGAGCACGCCCTGTGCACACGGGAGGAGCACACTAATGTCTGTGGAGCGAATGACCTGGGTCCTGGTCCTTGCTGACGCTAACGAGCTGTATGACTCTGGGCAAGTGGCTCTCCCTCTCGGATTCTTCATCTCTAAAGAGAGAATTGGGGAACTTCCACTTCCCACTAGGATGGAGTAACAGGGACCAGATTTACCCTACCCGAACCAACCAAAACACCCAGAGGAAAAAAAAAAAAAAAAAAAAAACATGAAATAATGGTCGCTCTGGTCGGAACGTTTGTGTCTCCGCAAAATTCATATCCTGAATCCTGATGCCCAGCGTGATGGCTATTGCACAGTGGGGCCTTTGGGAGGTGATCAGGTCATGAGGGTGGTGCCCCTGTGAATGCGATTGCTGCCATTATAAAAGAGACTCCAGAGAGCTCCCAGCCCCTTTCCACCATGTGAGGACACAGCGAGAAAGTGCCAGCTACGAACCAGGAAAGGGGCTCTCGCCCAACCAGGCTGGTACCCTGGTCTCAGATTTCCAGCCTCCAGAAGAACTGTGAGCAGTTCTGTTATGTACACGCCTCCCTAGTCTGTGGTATTTTGTTAGAGCAGCCCAAACAGACTAAGAAAGCAGTTTTCAAGATACTGGACATTGATTAAGCAGTAACGAGTTCCCGAGAGACAGGAAATGAAAATGGTGACTCCTGGGATGGCTCCAGCTCACGGCCTAGAGAGAGGTCCAGGGCTGAGGGGCAGGAAGGGGAAGCAGGTGGAGGCCCACACCCTCCCTGGGCTGAGCAGCCTTAGCTGTAGGTCTGGGGAGACGAGGGCAACCAGAGCTCCCAGGACAGCGCAGCCAAGGGGAGAGAGCTTCGTGAAGAACCCTGCAGGCAGTCCTCTTGGAGCGCTGGGCGGCGGGGTGCAAGGAAGCTGCCGGACGCTGGAGAAAACCCGTCTGCAAGGGTTGGAAACAGCCCCTCTCCCCACCGGCCAGGATGGAAAGCTCACCATTCGAGGGCCGTTGGGTAGAGTCCTGGGGTCCGCTCACCACGAGGCTGAGCCCCGCTCCAGACCCACTTCACAAATCATTAAAGACAGAACCTGACTCAATGGCTTTGAACGTACCATCCAAGTGTGGCCTTCTCTGGCTTTAGACATTTAATGAAAAAGACACATTAGCGCTCAGCACAGACGCGTCCGGGCGCCTCCTGGGTGCCAGGCGCTGAGCCTGGGGGTTGTGACTGTGGCTGATTGTGCCAGGAGCTGAAGGACGGCGACGAGGATGGGACCCCGCCACACGCAGGATGCTCGCCCCGGAGTCCCACAGGCCCCACGTCACCAGGGCCCAGAGGACTGGGCAAGCCAGGCCCGCCCAGCAGCGTCGGCCTCGCTACGTTACAGACGGGCAAACCGAGACTCAGAGGGGCAGGGAACTGCCAGCGTCAGGGGTGAAACCAGGCCTCGGAACCCAGGTTTCCTGACTCCCCTATCCAGGCTCTCTTCTTAAACCTCGGATCCTTGGAAGGGCTGCGTGGTCCCCGAGAAGGCGTAAGGCTGGAGTTCCCTCTCAGCCCCCACCAAGCTCAGCAGCCTGGCTCTTCCCCCGTGTTCTGCAGGGTCCACGAAAGGCGCCCGGATCCTCTTTAGTATTGTTAATACAATCAGCAGAAGCATCGTTATTACTGTTATTCTTGGACAGTGGAGAATGAGGAACATCCTCAGAAATGGCAAGACACATGTTCACCAGCTGTTCCCCATTACGCCCTCCCCGGGTACATGATACGCCTTTCATGTGCTTAAAATCATAAATAATTTTTAAAGTATGTTGCTCTTATTTTTTATTCCAGGGCTCAAATGTGGTTCTCATAAAAGTCCGCTTTGGCCTCACTGTCACAAGCTAAGAGGTTTACTGAAAGGCCTTCTTTTCTTCTTTCTTCCCCCGTCTCCCTCAGCCTCTCCCCTCCAGAGGGGCACGGCAGTGTGGTCTCAGGGCTAATTTGTTTCCTTCCTGCACTGGAATCATGTTCCTTCCCAGGATGCAAGGAACTGAGGCTGTAGTGATTGTCTATCATGGACAGATACAGGCTGCTGTCCCCATTTTACAGGTAAAGAAACAGGCACAGAAAGTTTCACTAGCATACCCGATGTCAAGCAAACACTAGGAGATCCAATGACCGCCCGCCCCCCCGGCAACAAACATCAAGGGAAGGGAATAACCATATGCGATCTAAATAAAATAATCTTGATTATCCATGAGTCCCTCATCTGCAGTGATCTAAGAGGGCCTCTTTCTGCAACTCGTAGGAAAAGTCAGCAGGCAAAGCAGCAACCAGGCATAAAGGTGGAGAGCAAGCCCAGCTGTGAGCACGTGTGTCTGCTTACACCCCACGGCCCAACAGACACTAATCCAGACTGTCTTCTCCTTTCAACGTTTCTGTGCTTTCCTCTGCACCTCTGGTCACTGGGTAACTGAGGGTTGACTGAGCTGAAGATGATCACCTGCTCACCTTTCATTTCAAAAGGCTCAGACACACAGGGAAGCCAAACAGTGTGGAAGGTGCCTCTGCAAGCTGGACCGGGCTGGGCGCCTCCAGACTAAAGAAGTCATGAGGAAGAGAAGCTAAAGGTGCAGCAGAAGAGGTCCGCTGTTCTCACGCCCCGTTGGCACCTGACGGGACAGGCAGAGGGAGGGATGCGCGCAGACGTGCATGCACCGAACCCGGATCCGAGGAGCTCCGTGCACAAGCCCAGTTACCCACGCGAGCGAGTGTTAAACCACCCACCAATCCAAATGCAAGCAGCACCAGGAGCCACTAAGCTCAGCTGCAAACTGGAGCCCAAAGGAGCCTCTGTGGGCGCACCAAGAACAGGAGCTCATCAGTCCCTCCGTCCCCACCAGTGCCTACGGGTCCATTTCCCATCCACGGCCTCGCCGAATGCAGCCAGTGACATAGCCACAAAATGCACATTCTCTGAGGTCTGACTCTGGATTCACTTACGGTTTTTAATTCTGTTTCAGTATGTCCTCTACCCATGAATGAATGTTTGCTGACTTTTAAAATGTGGGAGAACTCCCAACTACTTACACGGCTGACAAGTCCCCTTCTGGCCCATGCCTCCTGCCTCCTTCCAGAGGCTCAGCCGTCACCCCGCCCTACCCCCCACCGCAGTCTCCCCGCCGCGCGCACTGGCCTCGCCTCCTCCTGGTTCCCCGCACAGGCCGGGGTTTTCTTACCTCAGGGCTGGAGGACATGCCCTTCCCTCGCCCAGGAAGGTTCTCACCTGCCCCCCAACCTGGTAAACTCCTAGCCAGCACTCTGGTCTCAGTTCAGATGGCCCCTTCTTGCACCCTGGCCCCCATCAAAACTGGTCTCCTCTGGTTGGCTCTTTGTCTGTCCTGCTCTTTTTCTTCTGTCGGCGCCTCCAAGCTCATCAACAGCTACTTGACTTCTGAATCCTCCCCACGCCGAAGCCACATGGGCCCAGGACCAGTTGTAGTCACCAGTGCATCACCTGCCATCAGCAAAGTATCTCATAGTGATACTCAATAACTATTCACTGGGTGGATGGATGGGTGGATGGATGGGTGGATGGATGGGTGGATGGATGGGTGGATGGATGGGTGGATGGGTGGATGGGTGGATGGGTGGATGGGTGGACGGGTGGACGGGTGGATGGGTGGGTGGGTGGATGAAAAATGTGACCTTTCAAAGGGCTAGGACCCCTTATACACAGCCATTCCGGGTACAATTAGACTCTTCCTAAAGGCTTTTGGTAACTGAAGGGGCTACTGAGGACCCAGATCAGGGACGACCGCTATGGTATGTGTACCATGGTGCTATCTCCCCCGACCTTACAGACAGCCCTGAGGGATCACAGCACTCCTTCCAAGGCCCTTGGATGGAGCTTCAGAACCCATCTCAGCATCACTCTCCAGTAAAGCCACCACCAATGAATCAGGCCTGGTACGTGTGATCCATTTGTTCATTCATTAACAAATACTGATACTGATTTAGTGCTTGCTCTGTACCAGGCCCCGTTCTAGGTGCTGCCAACAGGGTGAAACCGCCCTGCCCTCCTGGAGCTTCCAGTGTAGTGCCGACAGGGACAATCAAACAAAGACACAAATATGCTACTCAGTATCCAGCAGCGCTGAGCGTTAGAAAGAAAAAAACAAGAGGAGGAGGATGGAGAGAGACAGAGGTCCGCTTCACATAGGGCGGTTGGGGATGTCTGTCCGGGCAGAGACCCCGCTGTGGTGGGAGAACGAGTCCTGCGCTATCTGGAGGTCCCCAGGCAGAGGGAAAGGCAAGCAAAAGGCCCTGAGAGGGAAACAGGCTTGGTGTTTTGGAGGATCGGTGCGCCTGGGGCGGAGTGCCGAAGTGGGCAGTGCTGGGAAATTCCTTTCTGTGTCAGAGGTGACAGACACGGCATCCATTTAGAGGCCCTGCGGAGACACCGTCATTCCCAGCCCCTCTCTGACCAGTAGCCCTTTAATATCCATGGCAGGGATCACATGACACCCTCGGGTTCCGGTGTCCCCGCACAGGACAGCTCTAGTCCATGGTGGCACTCTGACTGTGCACCCTGTCCCCATTCTTGGGGCTCTGATCCACTGTAAGCTGGTAAACGCTTACCAACCACCTGGGTGTTGAGGGTCGAGTGGCTGATTTGGAACCTTCACTGATTTCCGTGGTGTAAATACGCCCACCGTGGCCAATTTCAATCATCAATGGTGCAAAGACCAGCCTGCAAAGTTTCTGAAAATGTATCAGATCTCAAGAGCCGTTATGCACCAGCACAGCACTGAGGCCAGTCCTCCCTGGGTAAGAAGAATTCTGCTGTGAGCTCCAGGTACCAGAAGCTGACTGCCTCCTCCTCCTGTCTCCCTCTCTCCTCCCGCAGGCCCCTCCCATCCACCCACAGAGGGCAGCCATGGCCAAGCCAGGCCGCCCACTCCCACATCTCCTATTGAAGAGCCCGGTTACTCAGCACAGTGCTGGCTTACCACTGTTGTCCTGGCGGGATTATTAGTAGCTCTCTCACCCTCAGAAGGGCCCAACATTGGATGACAAATTCTATCCACTGCCCTCTGCTCTCAGCGCCACCTGCACAGGGCCCAGGGTCCAGGTCCCAGCCAGCCCATCTGGCAGGAGCTGCCCCAGTTCAGCTGGACATGACTTGAGGCTTTCAAAAGGAAAAGCACCATTTCTCTTTCAAGTTTTTTCAATCATGAGCCTAAAAACAAGTTAATTTTAAAAATTCAAGTTCAGGGCTTCCCTGGTGGCGCAGTGGTTGAGGGTCTGCCTGCCGATGCAGGGGACGCGGGTTCGTGCCCCGGTCCGGGAGGATCCCACGTGCCGCGGAGCGGCTGGGCCCGTGAGCCATGGCCGCTGAGCCTGCGCATCCGGAGCCTGTGCTCTGCAATGGGAGGGGCCACAACAGTGAGAGGCCCGTGTACCGCAAAAAAAAAAAAAAAATTCAAGTTCATTTCCCATTACACGTTTTCCTATTTTTGGCATCACTGTCTGTGAGCCCTGAGTCAGGCCTGTCTGCTAACAGCCCGGGGCCTGCGGTCTTGCCAGGCCTGAGTGCATGTCCGCAAGTTGGCCAGGAGCCAGCTCAGGTTCCGCAGGGAAACACGGCATGGAGGTGGCACCGATTAATTTTTTTCTGAATTTTGAAGATGAGAAGCATTACAGAAAACAAAAAAGTATAAGTCAAAGTGTTCTGCGCTCTTTCCAGCCTATTTAAATGGCAATCAAAGAGCAGGCACCAAAAAGCCCATAAAGATATTAAATATAAACCCGACCCTCTCGGCTCCACTGCTATTAAAAACAAATGCTTGGGGACAGGCAGTGACAGCAAGGGGAGGTCCCACCCCCAACTCACCAGCGTGAACAGCTACAGCTCTGGTTCACACCAGCCTAGGATTATTGCAGAGTACATTCTACAGACCACTGGTTCCCCATGATATTAAC